AACATAATAACGTCTTTTGAAATGGATGTCTGGTCACCTAAGACCAAGGCTGATTTCAAAGCTAATTATTGTTGTTGTTAATTGCCTTAGAATCAAGTACAACTCATAGCGACCCTATGAACAAAAGCCCTGAAGCCCCTCTACAGCTATCGACGCTGATCAAATTTCATAGAGTTCCTGAAGCATGTTATTTAGGAAGTGAATTCCACTCCTGCTTCTAAACCTGTCATAGTATGTTATGTGCCATTGAGTTGCCTGTGTTATATAGCGACCCTATGTACAGCAGCTCTGAACCCTTCCCTGTGCTGAGCCAGTCTCTAATTCTGACACACCAACCCCCATTGCCCCAATTACTGTATCAATCCATCTGATCGGGGGTCTCCCTTTCCTGCACTTTCCGTCCACCCTTCTGAACATGATGTCCTTCTTCAAGGACCTAGCTCTCCTGGTCACATGCCAAAAGTAAGTGAGACAGAGTTTCGGTCCATGGTATATTCAAGACTCTTCTCCAGCACCACAACCCGAAGGCATCTATTATTCTGTCTTAGTCATTGTCCAATTTTCTGAAGCATAACAAGTAATTGAGAAAACCATGGCCTGGATTAGGCACACCTTTGTATCTAGACTGACATCGTTTCTCTTCAGCACTCCGAAGAGGTGCATGACAGCAGATTTCCCACTGCAATTTGTCTTTTGATTTTCTGACTGCTGGTGCTTAAGAGTGTTAATTATGGATCTAAGCAAGCTGTAATTGCTAACAACCTCAATCTCTTCTCCATCTAATATGGTACTGCCAATTGGCCCGATGGTGAGTATCTTTGTCCTCTTGATGTTGAGCTTCAATCTATTTTGAAGACTACAGTCCTTGACCTTTTTTTTTTTACTTTTTCTGGCTACATGTTTATGCAATACAAAACAATTTCCTCCAACTTTACTGATGTAGCTGACCACGTCCACAACCAAATACGCCTCTAAATTGGAATTCAGTTGCTAACCCAGCCCCAGCCTCGGCTTGGCTTTCTTGCAGCCATCAGGAGGCACTGCGCTCCATATGTGTGTCTGTCAGCCTCCCCTCGAGTCAATCTTGCAGGTCGTTCACCTTCTAGACCTTTTGGTCGTGGCCTGCCAGTCTCAGGACAGCTGCAGCACAAGGTGGCAGGAACAATTTCAGGGGGTAGATGGAGGTAATCACATAGATACTGGATACCCTGGATGGTAAGGTACCAGTAGAAATGTCTCCAGGCGAACTGTTCCTTCACATAACCTCGTGACTTGAGATTCTGCATGGACTTCATGACATGAAGGTTGGGCATTTTGTTAGTCTGGGCAAAGGGGGCCAAAGAGAAGAATGAAGAATTCAGAACTCAAATGCTGATGGCCTTGCCTGTTGCTGATAAGAAGAGCAAACAGCCTTGCATGTCTGGCTGAGCTAGCAGGTGGCTCCTAAATCAGAGTGGAATGTCCCTTCCTAAAGACTCTGTTTATAAAAATCCTCCCCAGGAAGTTCACAGGGTGACTTCCCATTCTGCCTCTCCAGGATGAGGAACTCACCCAGGAGCTCCCTTTCTCCCCTTTAATAAAGCTGCATTAAACTTTCTCCCATTCTCTCTGATTTCTTCTTTAAGTCCACTAACCTAACACACGTTTTTGTCTGTCAGTTCAGGTTGTTTTGGCATGTGGACATCCTTCTTGGCCACCATCACCCCCTACTTAAAAAGAAATTCATATATGGCAATTCGGTTCTTCTTTGGCATCAACATCGCAAGGGTGGATGTGTCCAGAGCCTGGTCCTTGACCTTTTGCAGCAAGTGCTTTAGGTCTTCTTCAGTTTCAGCAAGCAAGATTGTGTCATCTACATATCGTAGGTTGTTAATAAGTCTTCCCTCCAATCTTAATGTCACACTCCTCCTCATAAAGCTATACCTCCCGAATGATCTGTTCTGTATACAGATTGAAAAGGTACAGGGACAGGATGCATCCCTGACCCACTCTTTTCCTGATTTTAAACCATGCAGTGTTTCCTTGCTCTGTTCTGAGGACTGCTTCTTGGTCCAAGTATAAGTTTTGTATAAGCACAATCAAGTGCTCTGGGATTCCCATTTTTCTCAAGGTTTGCCAAAATTTATTGTGATCCACACAGTCAAATGCCTTTGCATAGTCAATGAAACACAGATATACATTCTTCTGATACTCTGCTTTCTGCCAATCTGACATTGGCAATAATGTCCCTAATGCGATGACCTCTTCTAAACCCAGCCTGTATTTCTGGTAGTACATTTGTCAATGTACTGTTCAAGTCTTTTCTGGATAATCTTCAGCATGATTTTGCTAGTGTGTGATATTAGTGATACTGTTCGATAATTTCCACACTCTGTCAGGTCACCTTTTTTTGGAATATATCTCTTCCAGTTGGCCAAGTGGTTGTCCTCCAGATTTCTTGGCACAACTTGGTGAGCACAATCAGGGCAGCAGCATCTGTTTGCTGAAATATGTCAATTGGTATTCCATCGATTCCTGGGGCTCTATTTTTTTGCCAAGTCCTTCAGAGCAGCCTGAACTTCCTCCATTGCCTCTTGCTCATATGGTGTTTCTTGAAATTCTTCTGTGTCAGCCAATTCTTTTTGGTACAATGACTGTGTATACTCCTTCCATATGTTTTTAATGCTTTTTGAATCATTCAGTATTCTGTCCATAGCATCCTTAAGCATTGCAACTCGTGGCTTGAATTTATTCTTTCGTTCTTTCAGCTTAAGAAATACTGAGTGGGTTTGGCCCTTTAGATTTTCTGACTCCAGCTCCTTGCACATTTCATTATAATATTTTGCTTTGCCTTCCTTTGAAATCTTCTACTCAGCTCCCTAACTTCTTGATTTCTTCCCTTTGCGTTGGCTTCTAGGTACTCTAGTGCAAGATTCAAAGTCTCTTTTGACATCCATTTTGGTCTTTTCTTCTTCCTTTTTAGTAATGACTTTTTGCATTCTTCATGAAAGATATTCTTGATATCTTCCCACAACTTATCTGGTCTTCATTCATTAGTGTTCAAGACCTCATACCTATTCCTGAGTTGGTTTTTAAATTCATGGGAGATAGACTTAAGGTCAAATTTTGATTACTGTGGATATGATTTAACCTTCTTTAGTTTTAATTTGAACTTGCATATGAGCAGTTGATGGTGTGTTCCACAATCGAACTTCTACAAAGGTGCCTTCCACACATGTAATCAATCTGATTCCTGTGCCTCCCATCAGATGAAATCCATGTGTATAGCCTGCATTTATGTTTCTTATAAACAGTATTTGCTATGAATAAATAATTGATGGTACAGAATTCTATCCCCAGCCTCATTTAGGGACCTGTAAGTCTGGGAGGGTCAAGAAGTATGCACAGGGCTGACCTGTCCTACTGTCCCATCAGCTACCAAAGCCTCATACCACAAATCCTAGGCAATGAAAGGACCTCAGAGGTTACATGTTCCTGCTCTGCTGGCCCCTCAGCTATAGTCTTCAGCTACAGATCAAAGATTTCCCGAGTGAGTGGAGCTCTGGTGGCTTCGTGGTAAGACATTGAGCTGCCCTGCCCTGTGCCATCCTCACCAGCTCTGACATACTCGAGCCCACTGCTGCAGTCCTTGTACCAATCCATCACATTGAAGGGCCTTCCTCTCTTTTGCTTGGTGTGCTTTTCCAAGGACTGATCCCTCCTAACAAAAGGCCCAAAATATGTTAAACAAATCTTCACCATCCTTTTCTCCAATGAGCAATCTGGTTACACTTTCTCCAATCATATTTGGCTGCTCTTTTGGCAGTCCGTGGGATAGTCAGTACTCCTCTCCAATAACCCAAAGGCACCGATTCTGCTGTCATCCCTATTTATCCAATGTCCAGCTTTCAGATGCATAGGAAGTAACTGAAAAGACTATGGCTTGAAGCAAGTGCACCTTGCTCTTTAAGCTGGCATCATTGCTCCTTGGTGCTTTGGAGAGGTCCCTTGGCCTGACTCAGGTACACCTGTCTTTAAACTGAGTCATTGTTTTATTCCATTTTATATGGTTCTAATCTACTTGGGTATCCTGTATGCTGATTTGCCAAATCTGACAACCCCATCAAGCAACCATAGTATGTAATTTTAATACACACGGGCCTTGGTGTCTTGCAGGTCCCTGCATAGCCGAGAAGTTTGTGATAGCACGCTAACCTTAAAGGTCGGCAGTTCAAATTCACCCAGTGACAACATAGAAGAAGCAGTTGGTTATCAGCTTCCATTAAATCATACCCCCAAAACTGCCCCACGGACAATTTGTTTCGTAAACTTTAACTCAAATTCCAAAAGAAAAAGAAAGCCTCAAGGAGCATTCTCCTCCCTAGCACACGGGGTGGAGGGGGCTTGATGAATCGTGCACAGTCAGCTCCATGGCAGCAGGATAAGTTGGGTGTTTTTGTTGGCTTGGAATTCCTGCTGTGGATACTGTCCATCTTTCTCCCTCAGAGTAGCTGGAGGATTCGAACCATAATAATTTTGGAATTGCAGCGTAGCTTCTTGGGCACTTAGCCTCCAGGGCTTCCTTGTGCGACATGAAGTAACGTCATTTAACCTCTCTGCTCCTCCGTTCTCCCATCTGTAAAATAATGGCGGCAGCAGTACCTTCACTGAGCTATCAGATTGAACTAGAGAACATGAGTATTTGGCACAAAGCAGGGCTCAATGGTCGTGGAGTCTTCGTGACCCCACTTCCTGATCGTCCACTGACTCACACAGTACTCCCTGAGGAGTCAGCCTCTCCGCACGCGGGTTTCGCCCAGCCTCGCTCACCCACAGTCGCACCCCGTCCGGGTGCAGCCACACCTTTTCCATCCCCGCGTCCTAATGTCCGGCCGGTCCCTGGAGCCGTCGGCAGGTGGCAGCACCGGCGCCGCGGTCCGCCACCGGCCAGCGCTGTCCGGCTCCTGCCGCATTCCGGGCCGCCTCCGAGCAGGCCGGGAGCGAGGCCACACCCAGCCGGCAGCGTGCGCTGCCCGAGGCGTGAGTCACCCGGGACGCCTCCGCTCAGAGCAGCCCCGCAGCCTGCTCGGTGCGCCTCTGCCGCTCTCGCTGTCCCGCATTCAGAGACGCAGCATGGCGGGCATCGCAGCCAAGCTGGTGAAGGACCGCGAGGCGGCCGAGGGGCTGGGCTCTCACGAGAGGGCTGTCAAGTACCTCAACCAGGACTACGCGGCCCTTCGGGACGAGTGCCTGGAAGTGGGCGCGCTCTTCCAGGACCCCTCCTTCCCAGCCATGCCCTCCTCGCTGGGCTTCAAGGAGCTGGGACCTTACTCCAGCAAGACCCGGGGCATCGAGTGGAAGCGGCCCACGGTAGGACGAGCCGGAGGACTCGAGGGTGCGGCCGGTGCAGCGGTACTGGCGGCGCCGGTGGGGGAGGGAGCTGGGGCCTCAGTCCAGCAAAACTCGAGCATCGAGTGGAAGGGGCCCGCGGTGGGACCGGCGGCGCCGGGGGAGCAGGGAGCTGGGACCTCAGCCTGCAGAACTGGAGGTCAGGAGTGGAAGGGGCCCGCGGTGGGACAGGCCGGAGGACTCGGGCAGTGCGGGCCCCGGGCCATTGGGCGCCGCGTCCACGCAGGCCTGGAACAGCCCGACTGGCCGGCGGAGTAAGATGGGGTGTGGACCGAGAGCCGCCCTCCGCTCCCCAAGCCGTTACTTTGAACCGAGGGAACGTGGAAAAGGCTTCTGGGGGATCCCGGAGACTCCCTCTAACGCGCTGGCTGAGACAAGTCATTGTCCCCACACCCCAAAAACAGGCCTGCCAAGTGATTGCCCCTGGACCCAGTCCAAACTCCGCCAGCCCTGGGGGGGCGTGGGGAGGTGAGAAGGGAGCAGGCAGTATCCGACTTAGAAAAGCCAGTCTGCGTCTTCTCCGTCCGTCTAGAGAAGGCTCAAACCTTGTTCTTGGGGATTACGTTGTGTCGTGTAGTCTTGGTTATGCTAACCAGAGTTTCTTGTTTGTTTTCCGAATGAGCATTACGAAAATGGGTGATCCTCGGAAAACGTGGGGGATGCTCAGGGCGGGGTTAGCCTTCATTGGTCCAGGGCCCCTGGAATTCCCATCCCCCCTGGAATCCCGAAGCCCCCGTGCTCCGTCCGCTCGGCCCCAGCCGATCCCTCTGGTTGGCGCGGAGACAAGCTCTCCTTCCTAATCTAGCAGTCCATTTGTTTCCCGTGGTGTCCCTGCTACTTCCTGCCCCCCCTGGGGGACAGGCCTGAGCTCCTCACCATCTGAAGGGAGCTTCCTGAGAAACTCAGCCTTTACTCTCCTGATATGCGTAGGAGCATCCCTCTGCCCTGCCTCACTCCCTGACCATAGGGCAGCAAGGACAGGAAGGACTGGCCTGGCCAGGAGCGCTCTTGGGGACTCTTTCTTTCCCAGGGTTGCCCCTTCTCCGTGGCACTAGTCCATCTCGAGCTGAGTTTTTGTTTTCTCAAAGCACCTTGGAGTCAGAACCCTCCAACCGGTTTTCAGAGACAAACCTCTGAATGAGAGATAGCCTGTCTCTTGCAGAGTAGCTAGTGGGTCCAAACCTCGTGCAGTGCTTTTTTTTTTTACCCACCAGCGGTCAAAGTCGGGAGTGGTGCTTAAATCCCTTTCTCTTCCCCACTCACCTGACTCATGGCCTTCATGAGTGCCCAGTTCTGTAAGCCTCAGGTCTTCTCACCTGCCTGAGATAATCTCCTGACAGTCTGCAGTTGGCTCACTCTCATTCTTTAGGGATTTAATGACATACTCCTCCTCATGAAATCTTGCCTGACTATCCTAGCAGACATCCCCATCTTACTACCTCAATAACTGTATTCTGGTAATTTCCTAGCCCTTTCATAATTTATTAATGTAATGATAGCCAAGTATTTCTCCTTCCTACTGAAGGCATCGGTGCTTTCAGTCCGACCTCAACTTCTTCGTTACCATTGGTTTTTGATCATTTGATTTCTTCTTAAAAATAAAGTCCCACAGGGTTGGGGTAAGACTGAGAAAAACTGGATAAATTGTGTATACTGCACTGAAACAGATGAGGGAGTGAATAATTTAAAAGTGATGTATGATAGGGTATTATGGTTATCACAAGAGTCCACAATTAAGGTTGCATAGTGGAATGTACTTGGGGCGGTGGGAAGAGTGCGGGGGGATTGTGTACCAGGGAAGGAGTGTTTCTTTTACTTTTGAAAGCGAACTGGGGGGGGCAGGGGGAGAGAAATGCAGCAATGAATGAATGGAAATCTAAAATCTCTGTAAATGCTCATTAAAATTATTTAAAAGAAAATAAAGTCCTAGGAATTGCAGTGGACAGACATAGACATGGACATGCTCACTAGTCTATGCCAAGAAATTTGGAAAACAGCTCCCTGACCAACTGATTGGAAGAGAGCCGTATTTGTACCCTTTTTTTTTAAAAGGCAAGCCAACAGAATATGGGAATTATCAAACAAAATTACTAATATCACATTGAAGTAAAGTCTTGCTGAAGATCGCTTCAGAATGGCTGGAATGGTACATCAACAGAGAACTGCCAGAAATTCAAGCTGGATTCACAAGAGGCTATAGCATGAATGATGTCATTGCTGATGTCAGGTGGATCTTGGCAGAAAGCAGAGAAAACCAGAAAGATGTTTACTTGCGTTTCATTGACTATGCAAAAGCATTTGGTATGTGGATCATAACAAAGTATGGCTAACCTTGAGAACAGTGGGAATCCCAAAACACCTGATTGTGCTCATGCAAAACTTACACATAGACCAAGAAGCCATTGTCCAACTAGAACAAGGAAACCCTGTTGTTGTTAGGTGCCATCAAGTTGAGTACAACCCATAGCGATCACCATATGAACAGCAGATCTGAAGCCTATCCTATCCTGTGCTGACCTCTTGCTTCCTGACACTCTAGAGCCCATTGTGGCAGTCACTTGGCATGGTTTAAAATCAAGTCAACGGCTCTGCCCTTGAAGAGGTTGTGACTTGGAGAGGTTATAAGCTTGAATACTTGCCCAGAGAGTTAAAGACACTAGCGGTGGAGAAAGGACTGTCTGTAGCCCATGTGCTCAGCGCCAGTGCCTTTATACCTGGTGCTCTCTGGGCCATGTTCTCACACTGCCAGGTCAGGCGAGCAGTGCAGGAAGTTCCCACCAAACCTAGATGCTGGAGTGTTGTCAGTATCAGCACAGAGGAGACCAGAGTGAGGAACTGGGACTGAAGAATGGGGCCGACTAATTTGAGATTGTGCCTGTAGAAAGAGGTAGAGGAAAGGGTCGGTAAACTGGGACCCGGGGCTTGATGTAGAACAAGATGTAGAAAAATTTGACCATGTTCTGTGTCCAGAAAAGGACGAGTTTCAGGTTAAAGGCCAAGAGATGTGATGAAATAGTCTGGGATCCAGAGGAATGGAGGCCAGTCTGCTTCATCTCAGAGAGGGATTGTTCTCTCCTAGACAGGACGTTCACAGTACTAGTGACATGAAAATGGTGGAGGCTGCGGGGAGGCAAGGATTGGTGCAGAGTGCCCAGTGAAGGCAGAGACTGGCTAGACCAGGACGACATGCTCAGCTTCCAGTTAGGAGGTTGTTGTTGTTGTTAGTTGCCATCAAGTTGATCCCAACTCATGGTGAGTCCGCATGAAGTCCTGGGCCATCCTGAAGGTCACTGAAATGCCCAGGTCCACTAGTGTGGCCTGTGTGAGTGCCGCAGTATCCTGAATATCTTCTGTGAGGTTCACCTTCCAGCACTGTGTTGGACACTGTGTCTTGGAGAAAGTGCAGCCAGAGTGTTCCCTAAAGGCAAAGAGGATGATATCTTTGGACATGTTGCTAGAAGAGGTTGTTCCTGGGAAGGGGGTCTCATGCTTGGAAAGATGGAAGGTCAACTGAAGACCCCCAGCGAGATGGACCAACACAGTGACTACAGCAGTGGGCTCAGGTGTGTCAAAGATGGTGAGAATGGCAAAGGACAGGGCAGGGTTCAGGTCTGTTGTTCACAGGGTCGCTATCAGTCATACAACTCACTAGCAGCTCACAACAACAATTCTGTTGGGATCCATAGACTTTGTATTGACTGGCTTTCAAAAGTAGAGAGCCAGGCCTCTTTTCCTAGTCTGTTATAATCTGGAAAGTCTGCCAAAACCTGAGTGTGCTGGTGTCTGAATCCGAGTGATGTCCCTTCAATATCAGAGCAACATGAGAAACCATCTGTTACCCTCTGTGTAATAAAGCAAATGTGCAGGGAGTGGATGAACGAGAGTCGGTATTGTTACTCATTCTCGCCCAGTGGCCACCTGTTACCCTCCATGTAATGGGATAGATGTCCAGGGAGTGGGAGGAGTGTGAGTTGGTATCATTACTCCTCTTTCTCTCCTAGATGCCCATGTCTGCAAGAGGGTGAGGACTTGCTTAGACTGACTGCTCTGATTTTATCATCAGTCTCTTTTATGATAATCGTAGGTGATGTTTATAGAGTCCTTATCAAGATATGCTTACACGGTTGCTTGTTTTAATCTCAGAGCAATCTTGTCATTGGCAGTTCTATTTTACAGGTGAGGAAACTGAAGTTTGAAGAGTTAAGTAACTTGCTCAGGCTTGTGAAGTTTGTATAACCAGTGGCACCTCCAGGTTTTAAAGCAGGCAGCCAGGACTCCAGCTCCTTTCCCTGGCTGTCACATCTCACACTTCCCTGCACGCTGTGCACTATCTCCTGCTTTCAGAAGCATCTTTTCTTACCACTCAGAATTTTTACCTCTCTGTAAAGGCCCCAGAGGCAAAGACAGGAAAGTTTCTGAAACAATGGAAAAATCCTTCTGGCATGGGAAGGATTATCAATATGATTATAAAAAAGAGGCTCCCAGCCAGTGCCAAGATTCCTCTCCCCCCAGTCAGCTAAGTGCTTGCCTGCAGGCTTCTTTGGCAAAGCCGACTTCATGTCTCAGCAGAAAGCATCCTCTCATCCGACAGCCCCTGAGCCCTTTGCCCTGAGCGGGGATTCAGGGTGCAGAGGTGGGCAGGGATAGGCCTTACTACAGAGCCAGCTCTCTCTCCTTGTTCGCTGAGAGACGCTGGCTGCAGGGCGTGGTGGGTAGCACCCATCCGCAGCACTCAGCAGACACAAGGTCTGAGGGCGGTGCACACAAGCCCAGGATGATGCTTGACTTCCTCTGTGGTTTGGGGGTGGAAAGCTTAAGGACCAATAAATGTACCAAGCCAACACTGTTGGGGGCCAGCCCCATTGGGACAGTGTCCCTGAGACTCCCAACTCCCTTGGAGATTTGTTAGACATCAGAAGCCGGCAAGAATGAAAAGTGTGTGCCTTAGTGCCAAGATCCGTAAGTTCAAATCCCAGGACTGCCTTTCACTTTTAAGCTGGGTGTCCAAACATGTTGTGTTTCCTTTGCAATCTCATCTGTGAAATCGGATACTACCCATCTTGTGTTCCTGAGAAGGTGGCATGAGGTGCAGCACCAAGCCCATTGTGGTGTTTACAGAAGGTGCAAGAAGTGTGGCTGCACCCTCCAGTGTCATATAGGCCCCTTGGAAGAGTTCAGGAGTGTCGAGGTGCAGTAGTGAAGTCTCCATACCCATGCTGGAGACGCAGCTTCCATTTCCAGCTTGTGCCCAGTCACCACCCATTTGTCTTTGGAGCCACTCATGTTGCTGGGATGCTGAATGGGTTTCAGGGAGCTCTCAAAGACAAGAAAGCCTGGCAGTCTACTTCTAAAAAATTAGCCCATGGAAACCACAAGCATCCAGCCTGCACCCGATGACAGGATCGGCACAGGGCTGAGTCACATTTTATTCCATTGTGCATGAAGTCAGGGGCTGACCCAGTGGTGGTTAACAATAACAAAAATACCTCCTCTTTCTGGTTGTTGTTGTTATGTGCCATCGAGTCTCCTGCAACCATAGTTACCTTATCTATGTACAGCACCTCTGCACCCTGCCCTGTCCTGAGCCAGTGTCACTGACTCCAACACACCTACCCCTTTGCCCCAGTTACTGTATCAATCCATCTCATCCGGGGTCTTCCTCTCCTGTACTGTGTCCCTCCACCCTTCTAAGCGTGATGTCCTTCTCTAAGGACTGGTCCCTCCTGGCCACGTGACCAAGCGTATATGCATTAGGAAGGCAGGAGAAGACTCATAATGCCCCCCAGACAGCTCACAATTAAGTACTAAACTACAAGGTGGGAACCAACCTACAGCTGACCCTCCAGCAGGTTTTAAGAGGCAGTAAATCACACAGGAGAAGATTGCCCATCCTGCTCCTGCTGGTTGATCCGAACCACGTGCACTTAGGATTGCAGCACAGCTTCTTACTTTTAGGTCACCAGAGCTGACCCACAAGAATATAACTGTGGAGGTCAGAGTTTAGAGGGAGATTGAGGAGCAGGGTCTGAAAGGAGTTCCGTGGAGGAGGTGGGAGTGAGCTTTGAGATGTGGTACTGCGTGGAAGAGGAGGCAGCAGATGCTGACTGAAAGTTCGGCAGTTACACCCCACCCCCCACGGCTAAACAGGTTCACAGCCCCCTATGGAGAACTTGTACTATGCCTCATAAGGTCGCTCTGATTTGTCATTGCCAGGGGTAAGATGTAGGGAAAGAGCTGCTGGGAGGGGCAGGAACCCCATGCTAGCAGGACTGCTTGTGCTAGACCAGAGGGGAGGACGCAAGCCTGTCAGGCAGGCGCTCCACAGTGGACATAGAATCCTGAAGATAGCAGCACAGAAGCAGCCTGCAGGCAGCCTGCAGTGTGTGTGGTCCAGGTCCCACCTTTCCCAGCCAGGAGCATACCCACCCATCCCTGGGGCCCATGTGATGGGGGCTCAGAGAGGAACCCCAAGAGGGAGACCCCCAAACTCTCCTCAACTCCACAACATGCCCCAGAGCAGAGGGATGGAAAGGGAGCCCAGGGCACCTATTAGCATCCTGATGTGAAACAACATGCGGTAAGCTGACACGCTTTGTGGGTCTCTTCCCTAGGAGATCTGCGAGGATCCCCAGTTCATTATGGGAGGAGCCACCCGCACTGACATCTGCCAAGGCGCCTTGGGTAAGTGACAGTGGGAGCTATGGGGTCCTGTCCATTTCTTCCTTCACAGGCAACCTGGTGAGTTGCAGCCCCTGACTGACTAGAATGACCTGCCCACAGTGGGCAGCTGCCCCACCCCAGCCTCACGGGGAAGCACTCAGAGCCAGGGCTTCCTGTCTGCAAAGGATTCATGAGCTCAGCCGCTCGCCAAAAATTTTGAGGTTCAGGTCCTTCCAGAGGGGCAGCAGGCATAGATAGTATTGTGCCTCCCTAAAACCTGCTGCTCTTAGAAGCCCTGTGGGAAGAACTTGGCACATTTGCACTCTGCTGTGGGCTGGAACTGGTCCTGGTGTAGACCCTGCACAGGGCTAGCTGCTGTGGTGACAAGGATGTGCCCACCAGCACTGAGGACTTGTGGATCTCAGCCACCATGCTCTCTGTACCCTCTAGGGCCAATCATGAGTGAGTGGCCTGTGAAACAATCTGGGCAGACAGCCAAGGAGAGGGACTCCCTGAGCACATTGTCTTCTGAGGTCATGTCAGGGAGGTGACTAAGTGTGAATTGCACGGGAGGAAACCAGATTTGAGAGGAAGTTAGGGCATGGCATGGGGGAGTTCATGTGTTTGCAGCCATGGTGGCCATAGTATCACAACAGGGAAGTGGGGTCATTGTTGTGAGGCTCATGTCATGTTTCTTACAGTCAGCTGGCATGTCTGAATTGTGGGCAGCCAACACTGCTCTTCCAGCTGTGTTCTGATTTGCTTCTGGATGTCATGCTTGTTGAGAATTGTACCATTCACTTCCCAAACAGTGGGCCTAGGAATGTCACTTGGCAATCTTGCCATCTTTTATTTTCTTTTAAATAGTAAGAAATATCTCTGATTGCTTAAGCAGATTATTTGCTTTGATAGACCAGAGACATGTTTCCTATTACCAGCATCCACTGGCTCCCCAGGAGATCCATCAAGAATAAAATGGATCTACTTGAACTGTATCTGCTTTCCTAGGCTTCTTAGTAAAGGTTGGTTCCTCCTCATAATAGTAAGATGTACTGAGAATGCCCTGTTTGCCAGGTAAAAGCTCTCCTTGCAAGAACTGAGGTGGTGTGACTGCAAGAATTGAGGGGATGTGGTTATAAGGAACCGAGGTGGTGTGGTTCTAGGAACTGAGGTGGTATTATTATGCTCTTTTAAGGTGCCATGGCAGAAGTGAGACCTATGATATAAATGCTGTCAACCTTTGTACTTGACCGTGAGCTGGACTCCCTTGAAGGGGCCTGGGGAATGATGCTGGCCCCTAGGAGATGTCAGGGTGGCATATCAATCATTAGGAAGGGCCTCAGGGAGGATGTGTCCGGCGTACAGCTGTTCACAGTTCAGAAGGAGCAGATTCCTGAGATGCCAGAGCACATGCTTCCCTGTGGAAAACTGACCCCCCCCTTTCCTACCTTCTTTTGTCTCCACCACCACCTTCCAAAGAAAGATGACCAGGGCTGTATGTGCACCTAAGGTGAAGCCATTGGTTAGAAAAAGCAAAAGTTAGTGAAACTGGAAGTTGAGGGAGACATCAGTGCAATCTGGGGAGCTTTAGGGAGCCCCAGCACAGTACATTCCACACCCGTGCTGAATGGCATTCTGGCCAGCCACTCCCCAGAGGCAAGGATGGTGAGGCTTTGTCGCACATGCTTTGGGCGTGTCACTAGAACCTGGGTATTGCTTGGAGAGGGACATCATGCTAAGAAAAATGGAGGATCAGTGAAAGAGAAGAAGACCCTCACCCAGATGGATTGACACAGTGACTGCAGCAATGGGCTCAAGTAGAGGGTGAGGATGGCACAGGAGAGGACAGGGTTCAAGTCTATTGTTCACAGGGTCACTGTGAGACCACCTTGACTCCACTGCACCTAACACTACCACCAGTACTCCCTAAAGGCACTTGCCAAGACTATCTCCAGTCACTCCTTAAATGTATTTCCAGTCATAATAGCTTGAGTTCTTCCTCCTGTTAAGAAGAGAAAAACTGGAGCCTAGGCTTTTCCATGCAAGCAAGATTTATTAGAAAAACTACTTTGTAAAGGGAGGCATGGAGGAACAAGTACCTCACTTGGAGATGGCCATCTTAAGAGCCACAGGCATGTGTTTCTGAAAAATGCTGAATTGTGCATACATGTGAGCATCCTGGTCATCTGTGTAGCTCTAAGACCCAGAAAGGACTTCCGGTGGTAGTCACCTTGAAAGAACGACTGTGCCTGTGACTAATCATCCTGATCCTTCCCGCACTAGCCAGTCCCCAGTGACCCCCTCTTCCTTTCACGAATAAACTTGCCAGTCTTACTTTTGATAGGTAAACTCTTAAAACCCAGCTCTCCCTGAGCAGAGCTCTGGTAGCCCAGTGGATAATGGATAAGTTGTGCTGCCAGTTCAAAGGCAGGAAGGTCTCCCATATGCTCCATGGGACAAAGATGGGCAGTCTGCTTCCTTTCCATTTACAGCCTCTGAAAACCCAGAGTGTTGGTTCCAGCACAACAGCACACAGCACATAACAAGTCCATGAATAAGCATGACAGCTTTTCCCATCTCCAGAGCCTTTATAGGAATCCCTTTCTCCCTTGGTTATGGAGCCGTGCCTCCCATTGCAAAGTAGTTTCTCAAACTTCTTTCTTTGCTAGTATAGAAAAACAGGGACTCCTGTTTTACTTTTCTTAACAGGAGGAAGAACACCTGAAAGCTCTCAGAGTTAAAGGTTGTGGAGAGGGAGCACTTGGAGGCACCTCTCTACCACTGTCACTCATTCTGTTACTAGTTTCTTTGCTGTGGAGTTGGAACCTCCAGCAGGTTTTCAAAGGCTGTAAGTCATGTGGAAGGAGATTACCCATCCTTCTCCTGAAGAGTCATGGTAGATTTGAACAACTCGCCTTTTGGTTGGCAGTGCAACTCCTTACCCACTAAACCACCAGAGGTTCTGGCCTACTCATTAGGGTGTGTGCTTAGGTTTTGTGGTGTTTGCACCAACTGAATGCTGGTTTTACTGGTTGGAACTGTCTCAAGGGAAAATAATTCATCTCATCATGTAAAGAGGGAAAGGGTGGGAGAGGGAGGGAGGAAGAGTCTGTGATCAGAGCAAACCTAGCAGAAATTCAGTTAAAATTGAAAACTGTTTTCCCCTCTTACTCACCGAGAAGGTCATCTTTGATCCAAGGCCAGCCAGTTATGCTGTTATGTTGGTGGAAGGGAGTGACCCTCGGCTGTAGGTGATCACGGATGGAGGCAAACTACTGCAGTTAAAAGACTTAAACTTGATAAGGAAGTTATCTTCAAAATTGCCTTCCTATGGTACAACCACTCTGGAAGATAGTTTGATGCTTCTAACCCAGATGTCCAACCACAGATGAATGGATTGGGAAGTTGTGGTACATCCATACAATGGAATACCACACAACATACAGGAACAATGATTTTGTAAATTACTACCTAACTTGGGAGGGACTGGGGAGCATTATGCTGAGTGGACTCAGTCCCACAAGGACAAATACTATTTAAAACCATTATTGTGGAATGAGTATGAGGATCCAAGGAGGGGGTGTGTGGAAATAGAGGGTGAGGATTGATTGGGGGAGAGGGTGTTAATCATAGGGTTGCACAATTTGATGGGTGGGTAGGGTGAAGGAAATGGGAAGGATATTTGGTGGAAAACAACATATTCAAACTTTGTAAATAAATCAGAGTAATATAAAAAAATTGCCTTTCCACACTAAAAGGCCACTTTTCCTTTTAAAAATATTAATTAGAAACTATGGGGTTTTTTGTGGCTTTCTTGCCCTTTGCAGCCTCATTAGACCAAATGCCACACCTGGGTGGGCAGTTTACCTGGACCCAATCCCACATCTGGATTAAACACCGGCTTCAGCGTTCAACTACCATGAAATATGTGATTGAAGTCCTCTAAACATTGCCAGGTCCTTGGAGAGGGAACACACAGGACTCACATTCCTGAGGGAGTTCTCTGTGCACTGAGGGGGCCCTCTGGTGGCGCAGTCTATAGGGCATTGTGCTGTTAACCTAAAGGTGCTTACATTTTCAGCAGTTCATATCCCCCAGCAGTTCTTCAGGGGGGAGAAATGGGCAGTCTCTCCGCCATTAGGATTTATAGCCTTCGAAACTTGATGGAAGGTTGCCAGAGTCAGAACCAACCCTGCGGGAATGAGTGAGTGAGTGAGTGAGTGAACATGCAGCGGATCCAAGGAAAGCAAGGTTATGTTTAAGCCTTTCAGAGCATGGTAGCTGGAGTGTTCCTTCTGAGGTTTTTTTGTACCACTCTTGCTATTTTGTTGTCTTGCCTTTTTCTTTCCAAAAGATTCTGGTTTGTGTGTAGTCTTTGAAATATGGTCTGATGGACTATTATCACCCTGATTCTGGCCCCTGGGTACATGATAAGGGGTTATGTGGCAGTGAGAGTCACCAAGTCTTACTGTGTCCAGCAGCCTGGAGTACAGGCCATGCATGGCAGCAGCACCCAGCCATGTGGCCAGAGAGGGAGGACCCTGGACAGGCCATCCTGTCAGTTGGTCATACTTGGTGACTCACACAGTGCTGTGATCCAGGAAGCTAGGCTGCTGGTGGCCTCTTGGGTGATGAGTTCCACTGCCAGCTCAAAGGCAAAAAGTTCAAATCCACCAGCTGCCCTGCACGAAAAAGATGGGAAATCCTCTCTGGTGCAGTCTGTTGTTGTTGTTGTGTCCATTAATAAAGGAGGTGACCAGGCCTTTTTCCTTTGTCTTAGCCTGGACACCCTGCTGAAACCTGTCCGCCATAAACTCCAACAATTCGTTGTCCTCAAGTAGGAACTGACCCATAGCAGATCCTCCAGCTAGTTTTCAGAGGCAATAAGTGGCACAGGAGGAGATTGGCCTTCCTTCTCCCTTGGAGCATCCAGTGGATTAGAATCCTCATACCTTTGGGTTGGCAGCGCAACTTCTTACCATTAAGCCACCAGATCTTAAAACCTCTGAAAAGCCAGCTGG